CAACTTTTTTTTTTTTTTTTTTTTAAGCAATCTGCATGGGGGGGATAGAACTCACAACCCCGAGATCAAGAGTCACCTGCTTTACCAACTGAGCCAGCCAGGTGCCCCCGAGATCCACTAACTTTTGAAAGGCCGAAAAAATGCCAGATGGGCTCAGATACCCTTTTCTAGAGCACAGAGTCCCCAGCTTTCATCAGGTTTGGGCTGGAAGGTGGGGAGTACCTTCATGGGGAAGCCTTGGGCTAAGGCCTGAACCCCAAGTGTTTCAGGCAGGGGTGAGCAAAGGCTAGGTACATGGGAGTCCTCTCCTGTGTCTGTGTCTTCTCCCTCCTGCACGCCCTTACCTCTGCTAGAGTTTAGGGAGGGGGGAACCACTGAAGGAAAAAGTTAGTGTCTCCAGGGCTGGGAGGGGTCAGTAGGTCATGGGGTGAGGTCCTGCTAACCAGAGCATGCTGCCAGATAAAAGACCAGGGACCTAGATTCTGGAGGGTTCACAGGAAAAGAATTACTGTTTTTTTCTTCCATTACAATCCAATTAAACTCCACTTATTAGGAACAGCCCTCTGCCCTGCCCACAGCTCAGCCAGGCAGAGGTGAAAGACATAATCTTGAAAGTAGATGAGGGATGCTGAGCAGGGTGCCTTGGTCTCATTCTCATTTAGCTATCCCTCCCCACTTCAGGGCTTGGAGATAAGTGGAAACATCCTCCAGTCACCTGATCATCCCGCCACCCCACCCCCACCTCCACCCCCTCACCTAACAAAATCTCATCTCTACCAAAGATTGACACAAAGTGGCAGTAGAAACTGAACAGTAGCAGCTTGGGCAAAGCCTACCCTCAAGCAAAAGGCCAATGATGTGAAAGCACACGGCTGACTAGGGTTGACGGGAGGATACAGCGGGAGAAGTTGCTGAGAGTTTCTGCAAACAGAGGCAAGAGATAGTCCTACTCTGCCGTCTCCCAGTTTGAAAGAAGAGTTTGGTTTAAGAACTAGGATTCCTTCTAAGACCACATAGAACCCACAAGCTACTTTTAGGGTGAGAACTCAGTAGGTCTCTTGCACTTGAAGCGTGACCAAGTGGTACAAGAATGCTGCTTCTAAAGGCCGACTGCCTGAATTTAAGTCCTGACTCCCAACTCTTTCCAGCTGTTCCACACTAAGTTACTTAACCTTTTCGGACTTCCTTTCCTGTTTCATAAGCTGGAGCTATTAACTTGCCTCAAAGTGTTGCTATAAGGATTAAATGCTTTTTAAGTGCTCACAACAGTGCCTGGCACTCAGTGAATACCCACATCTGCCAAGTCTGCCATGGCAACCCCAGGACTCCGTAATAGAAAACCCACCTCAGTGGGACTTCTCTGTTTAGAATGGACTAGGATAAGAAATACAAGAGGGAATGTCTGCCAAAAGGGACTCTCAAGGCCAGCAACACATTGGTGGCATCTACCCCAGTCTGATGAGTGCTGTTGGGGTGGGTACAGGCTGCTGAAACCAGAATCAGCATGGAGATCAGGGCGGCAGTGACAAAACTACCACACTGCTATCAGAAACCAAGTGAACACATGGGACTCAGCTCCTAACATGTTGAGTGACTCAGTGAGAAGGGGACAGGCCCTTCAGCTTGTCTGTGTTCTAGATGGTGTGACACTCCGTGGGCGCTCAGGAAATGCTAAAGCTCACAAGGAAGCATAAGCCCCGCCTGCTCCAGCAGCACAGGATGAGGCCAGGCCAGGCTGCACCTCCCAGGTTTGCCACAAGGCTCCCTTCAGATGGTTTTAAAAGACTAGATCCTGGGGCGCCTGTGTGGTTCAGCGGGTTGAGCTTCCAACTTCGGCTCAGGTGATGATCTCGTGGTTTCATGAGTTTGAGCCCCACATCGGGCTCACTGCTCTCAGCCTGTCAGCCCAGAGCCCGCTTCAGAGCCTCTGTTCCCCTCATTCTGCTGCTCCCTTGTTTGCACTCTCCCAAAAACAAATGGTTAAAAAAACAAAAAAACCAGCTAGGTCCTGACCAAAGGCAAGAGGACTCAGGTGCTTGCTGGGCACCTTGCCGGGCAGCAGGGGAGGGTGGTACCAATCCAGGTGTGGAAAGAGAATATTTTACTCCAGTACTTGCTGTTGGCTTAATAATGGGGAACAGCAGACAGGTCAGAGAACTTCTGCATCAAAAGTTCTCTGGTGAGGACTAACCATGAGAATTGGCTTCTGTACTTTGTTTATACATAAATATAATACAAATATATTTTTAATTTTTTTTAAATTTATTTTTGACAGACAAGTGTGCGAGCATGAGCTGGGGAGGGGCAGAGAGGGAGACACAGAATCCGAAGCAGGTTCCAGATTCCAAGGTGTCAGCACAGAGCCTGACGTGGGGCTCGAACTCATGAACTATGAGATCATGACCTGGGCCAAAGTTGGACGCTTAACCGACTGAGACACCCAGGCGCCCCTGTATTTATTTTTAAATGTTTATTTTTGAGAGAGAGCAAGCAGGGCAGGGCAGAGAGGGAGACCGAGAATCTGAAGCAGAGGCTCTGAGATGTCAGCTCAGAGCCTGACGAGGGGCTCAAAACTCATAAACTGTGAGGTCACGACCTGAGCCAAATTTGAAGTTTAACCAACTGAGCCACCCAGGTGTCCCAATTTATATTTTAAGTATAAGGCTGTATGTATATAATGGACTCACACAGGATACATCATGGGCTATGCAATGAGGAATCACTTTTCAGCGTCTCTTCCGTCAGAATGTGACATTTCTTGCCCCCTCCCCAACCCAAACATACTTTACACTTTCAATTTGTACACAATGAGAAAAAGCTATGCTGAAAATACAGATAAAGGCCTCACTGTTCTGCAGAGATTTTGTCATAAACACCAAGAAAGCTTACAAAACTATGGCCACTGGAACAATTCTGGAAGGGGGTACTCTGGCCCCCACGAGGGTTGGCCCATGCATGACAGAGACCCAATATTCTGACAACTTTCGACCCAAGGAACTGACTGCAAGGCTCAGAGTTTGAGGCCTCAGCTACCTGTTTTCCTGGGAGACGGGTCTATGTAGACAGTATGAGCAGCCAAAGGCCACACACATCTCAACTTGTTACTTCTCACTGAAAACCGCTAATTCGGGATTCTGGTTTAAAAGCCCTATAATTAGTGGCTGAAGATTTTACCTAAAATGGGTTTGCCAAAGCTATCTGCCCAGAAACGGCCAGCAGCATCAAGATGTTTCACTAATGCATCAACTTCCTATTCCAACTCCCTTTCCACCCTGTCTCTCCTGCAGTGCTTAACAAGCTACGCCATCTGAGTCTCTCTCCCTGCAGCCTGGTGACTAGACTACATGTGTCTCCCCCTCCTAAATTAGCCTCTCTAGAGCAAACTGGGCCCAGCTTCTGTTGTCCTGCACTTGGGCTCAAGTGAGCCCAGCCCTCAGTGAGGGGAGATCCAGAGTGCAGAACTTCCCATGAGCCCCTTCTCTAACATCTGTGGTTACCTCTGCCGTAGGAACCCACTCCTAAGGTGGACCATGGGGGCTGATAGCAGTCCATCCACACTTCGCTACTCACACACACCTTTGGGGAGTTAAAACCTGTGACAGGATGCACTCGATCCAACCATTTACCAAGATCATCTCCTAAGTGCTAGGGAGGAAGTGGCCATCCTGTGGTACAGAGCTTGCCTCTGAAAGGTGACCAGGCCTGCACTGCCTGAGGCCATGAGTGTGGGCCCTCTGGGGCCCCCATCAGGCAGAGATCACACACGACGGAGTATCTGGAGCACTTGTTAATCCGTTATGATTTATTAGCTGTACAGCAGTAGGTCCTCCTCCCCAGCTTTCAACCCCATTACATATTTTATTACAGGTCTCATGTTGGCGTCCTAAAATAATGAAAAATATCACACAGTACAGCTAAGTACAAAATGCATCAACCTAGAGTTTGATAGCTAACTGATGGCTCTTTTAAAAGCAATACACAGAAGAAAAAAGTGTTTGAAATCAGCAAGACTGAGGCTCTCTAAAAAACACATTTTAAACATGTGACAGTTCATGTGCAAGAATCACTTTTTAGTTGGTTTTGTTTCACATTATTATTACTTTTTTTTTTTTTTTTTTTTTTTTTTTTTTGCAGATCCAAAGTTTAAATTACTGACCTAGTGAAATTTTCTGGCCCAGCTTTTAAGGGCTGCTGTGACCCACTCATAATCATCCTTCTGCTTGAACAGAGGAGTTATAAAACACAAAATTCAGCTACAAACAGAGCAAAGAAAATGTGGATGGGAAATCATAACTGAAAGTTAATTGTACAAGGTTCAAATGCTGGCTCCATGGGCTGGAAATCCGATCTTCCACGTGGGTGTCCATCACTAGCGGCAGTAGTCTGGGTGCCGTTCTGCTACATGATTGTGATCCAATTCCTCGTCAACATTTACACACTACAGAGTCTGTGGTGACTTAATTTGCAAGTAATTAAAATGCTGGGTTTTCTTACACTGCACTTCTTTTCAACCTCTTAATTAATGGAAAAGATTAAAATGTAAAAAAAGTTATTTACAAGCTTGACCATACCAGAAACTCTGCCAAGAAAGAGGCAAAGCCTTCAGGACAGAAACCGATCGCAGCATGCCGTACTACTGGTGTGCAGCTGGCTCCAAGCAAAGGGAGTCAGGGAGAAGCAGAAGCAAAAACCAGTTTAAAAGTGTAAGTCCTTCCCAAGTCTGCATTTACAATTAAAAACTCTCCTGGGAAGAAGACCTAGAACTCTGGGAAACCTGGTGGCCATTCTGGAGTGGTTTACCATAGCCAAGAGAGAGGGTTCAATGTCTCTGTTTCCGTCTAAGAAAACCAGTCAGGCATCAACACTGTCCTCAGCACTTCACAGTAAACCCTCAGGGACTCAGAACATTCCATGATTTGCTAACATCAAACAGCAAGTTCTAGTTAAATCACATTTTTCTAACATCATCCTTGAAGTTTTAGTTCTCAGTATGTTTGGTAAAATGGTGTAAAATGATGCTTTTCCCAAAGCCAAAAGAAGAAAGAGGGAGAAAAATTAAGATGCAGGCCGTTTAAACACAGCCCAGAGCAGTCCTGGCGATGAGCAACGCCCTGCCATCACCGGTCCATCATGCTGAGGATCATCTCAGGCGTGAGGTCTCCGTTGGGGGCGTCTGCGGCGGCTGGCTGGGCCTCCTCCTCCTCCCCTTCCACGGGCTCGGCGTCTGGCTCTTTTTTTACTTCAACTATAATGTTCTCAATTGCACCTGTATTCTGGTCTTCCACCTGGATGATGGCTGTTGCTGGCAAGAAAGAGCATGAACAAAACAAATGCTCCATTAAAGCCCCTGAGGATTGCAAGGGTCCTTTCAGACTTGACACTAAATGGATGTCAGCAATGCAGGAAAGCCTCAGTAAGAACACAGAGAAAGCCAATTAAAAAAAAACAAACGCTCAATGACCTAAAATGTGGCCATTCAAAAATCCCCAATACTCTAGAAACCATCAGTGAACAAAAGGCAGACATTCATCTTTATATGCCTCCCAAATTACATATTATAAGCCTTAGATTTCCTTTATATCATAAAGTTGAGCTTTACACCAATGCAAGATAGACAAAAGATGCAGACAGCACATGACGAAGAATACCTCACACTGTGTGATGCAGGACTGTGTTAGAGGCGACCCGCCTCTAGCGAGAACATGCCATTCCTGATTCTGAAGGTCTCCCACACCCAGGGCCCTCCACCAGTTTTTTCACTCAAGTATGTGTAGGCAAAGAGGTTCCCAGGACCTATAGTTAACCAACCTCACACTCTCCTGTGACAGACATCTATACATGGGGTTCAGGAAGTACGTTAAAAACAACTTCTTAAATCTTGCATTTGTTAAGGAAAAAAAACCCCACCAGCTTTCAGGTATCCAGACAATGAGTAGAATAGAGACCTGAGTCTCCCAGAGCCTGCTGTCATGGGGGCAGTGTCCAATACAGGACTGCTGCCCACTGCCACCTGTGATGTGGGGTACAGGCTAAATACCTCTTCTGTGTCCGCTCTTAAATCAGAAGGTGAGCACTTGAATCCAAAGGTTGAATCCAAAGATTGTTCTTCCTAAGAACAATCTCAGCACAGAAATTGCTTTATCCCTCCATCCTTTAAAATTTAGCTCTTTTATATTCATTGCCACATCAATTTTGCCAGCTGACTCTAACTGTGATGGTCTTGTAACCCCTACCACATTAGCAGTACCTATCTTGTACAGCACGAGTACCCTTCTACTCTGGACTTCTCACGGAAGAAGAGGCCTCTAGCATCTTCCTCAGGTGTTTCCCAGTAAAAACTAAACAAATGCTTCCCGAGAGTTTGTTCAGGGTGTGACCTTAACTTGTTCTCATGGCTTAGTTCCTATCTTTCCCCAAAACAAGGACCCATCTGGCTCCTCCACATGCTGGGAGAGGATGCCAGCCTACTGAACTGAGACAAGTAACTTACGCTGGGTCTGTTTGGGCTGGTTGGTTCTGCCAGGGGGGCGTCCTCTCCGCTTCTTGGCAGGTGGTGGGGCTGGGGTCACAGGCTGAGGCTCTGGCTCGGGTTCAATTTCCACAGCAGGCTCCTCCTCATCCTCATTGTCATCCAGATCTGGCTCAGCATTTTCTTCTCACGAAATCAGGAATAACAGGTGGTGGGGCAAGAAGAAGTATGGTGGAAGAAAAATATGACACACACATATCACATATTCTGTTATGTCTAGTTACGTATTTATTTTAATAGAAATCCATGTAAAAATGCTTTTGCTAGAATTTTTGCTATCAACATTGACAGAGTAAACTGGTATTGTGGTAGAATTAATAAGCAAATCAGCTTGAAGACTACTATTCATACTTTATATGGACTGGATATTACTTTTTTCTTTTAGCTGTAGACGTCAGAATATTGAGTTTCAAATTCGTAACAGGCAGCTCCATCATATGCTAGATAGACAAAAAAAACTGTGTTTAAGCTGAAAACATACGTTCCCTCTATTATACAAGGACAAAGCAGGACACCTAGCCTGAAACAGACCCTTGAAGATGTGCTCCTGCTTATCTCTGAGAGGAAGGTGTGTGTGTGTGTGTGTCAGAGAGCAAGACATAACTTTCTATTGCACTGTGACGTCCTATTACTAGGATAAGCAGCGAAGAGTTCTTTTAGGACTATTATTGATGTTTTTTTTTTTTTTTTTAAAGCCAAGTTTTTGGACTTAATTCCCAGCTATGTCAGATTCAATGGGTCATTCTCAACTCTCTAATTTTCTCTCTGATGCCATGATCACATAAAGGGAGACAGGACTATTGTAGAAAGAATACTGACAAGGAGCCCGATGATATGGCTTTGAATCCCACATATCTTATTAGGTGTATGTAAGGTGTCCCTTACTAGGGACAATTACCACAGTGAATCCCAGTTTCCTTGTATGATCTCTACACTTACTACTGATTTGAGGATCAAAAGGACTGAACTAACAACACATATAATCATGCTTTATAACTTACACTCTCTAGCACAGACATAGCTCTTATTTACACCACAGATCACAGTTTTTAAATTCTCCATTATTCCATTCAGCCTTCATTACTTCATTTAATAAGAGGGGTTACCCTCATTTTATAGAAAAAGTGAAAAGCCAAGTGATTTGTAAGGCACGGCTGAACTGCAGCAGGCAGAATTCACCTCTGGCCTCTGTCTGGGGCTGTCCTGCTGCCCCTCCCCGCTCACCACAGCACACAAAGCGCCTTCCCTGCCTTCCTCTCAGAAGCACAGGTTATACAGTCTTCCCTTGGGTCCAGACATTTAAATTTAGATATCAAAGACTAAATGCTTTACCTTCAGGACAAAATGCCTTATTTTTCAAATCCTAAGTGAAAATGTGGGGAATACATTGGTATGTGGCAGTGTGTCAAGAACAAGATGCTTCCCTGTTGAACTTATTCAAGCCCCCTATTGCCTAAGTTGGCATAATGCCTAGAAAACCAAACAAATTCAGTCAGAATTGGGGGAGAAAGCCACACAAAGAAGGTTAATAGGGTCAAAGGCTTATTGGCTTGGAGAGATTTTGGCAAAAAGCCTTGAAAATAGCAGTAGACTCTGCTGGTTAATCTCTGCAGGCAGAACTTCTGGGAGAGAACAAATATGACTGTGTGGCCTTGGTCAGCAAAGGGATGGAAGGCCCTGACTGGGGTGGGGTGAAGATAAAGACACTGGGTACAAGGCCCAGACCCAAACTGTGCTCTACAAGCCAGCAGTGCAGAAGCCAAAGGAGGAATGGCAGAAATCTACTGGGAACCATCAGTAAAATCTTTAGCTGAAAGATGCTCTGGTGAAACATAATTAGGGAGTGAGGCTGATGGTGCACATCACCAAGAAGACTAAGAGCCAACATCTGTGGCAGAAGGAGGCTCTGTAACTAGAAGCACTTACAGACATCCTTGAGCTCAAGGTTACCCATGGATCTCTGGTGGCATTTGGAGCCTGTGACTTCCCCTGGCTTCTCCCAACAGTCCATTCATTCATTTCTTAGCCAAACAAAGGGGTCCCACAAAGATTCTCAGTAAAGAGTGGTGTGGGGTTTTTGTTTTTCCATGTTTATTTATTTGTAATTTTTTTTTTTTAATGTTTATTTTTGAGAGAGAGAGACTGTGGGGGAAGAGGGGAGGGGCAGAGAGAGAGAGAGGGAGACAGAATCTGAAGCAGGTTCCAGGCTCAGAGCTGTCAGCACAGAGCCCGATGCGGGGCTGGAACTCGGAAACGGTGAGATCGTGACCTAAGCCGAAGTCCGATGCCTAACCAACTAAGCCATCCAGGCGCCCCAATGTTTATTTATTTATTTTAGAGAGAGAGAGTGTGTGAGCAGAGGAGGGGAAGTGAGAGAGGGAGAGAGAGAATCCCCACACTGTCAGCGTAGAGCCCAATGCGGAGCTCAAACTCCCAAACTGTTATAGCATGACCTGAGCCGAAATCAAGAGTTGGACACTCAACTGACTGAGCCATCCAGGTGCCCCAAGGGTGGTATGCTTTTATAAAGATTAAAGCAAACCAACATTTTAAAGGAGGCATGTTTACTTAAAACCCAGTGATGAAGATAATGCTTAAAATAGATTTCTAGAAAAGACAGCAAAAAATAAATTACTCTTATGCTTACTGGATGAATAATCTCTCAGAAAAGTTCTAAATAGAAAAGTAAAGCCTTTATTAAAATATACAAAATACACAAAAACTAAAAAGGACCTTGTTACAGATCTAAATATAAAAAATCAGTACTTTCATAAGCAAGTTTTAGATAAAATCAATAAAGTCACTGAAGTTCTCAAACATGTTCAACCTTCAAAAATTTCAATCCCTCCCCATTATTACTGAAGCTTCTCCCCCCCAAGTTTGTTTATTTTGAGAGCGCACGCATGTGCGTGCACATTGAGTGGGGAAGGGGCAGAGAGAGAATCCCAAGCAAGCAGGCTCTGCACTGTCAGTGTGGAGCCCGATGTGGGGTATGAACCCACAAACTGTGAGATCACAACCTGAGCCAAAACCAAAAGTCAGATGATTAACTGAGCCACCCAGCTGCCCCCGCTCCCCATTACTTCTAACAAGCATGCAAAAGACAAAATGAAGAGCCTTAGAAATACATAAGGCGCCATCTTTAATCTTTCCAGTCCGATGGTGCTTCTGGGGTAGTGTATTCCCCAAAACAAAACCCCTTTACATACATCTTTTACCATAAAAAACTTAAATCTTTAGTCACAAATGTGCTTTCTCAACTACTTGGCCAGTAGTCCAAGTATCCACATTGAAAAAGCCTACCACCATGAAAAAGTGTGTACAATCAAATGTGACTCCTATGTTACCGACACTCTTGTTCTCCCTCCCTCTTCATGACTCTAGCACCTCAAAACCATACCAGAGCACCTGGATTTCATGACTAGAAAGGCAAAAACACCCCAGAAAGCATCAACGGTAGGAAAATAGGCAAAGTGTTACATTTTAAAATTCAGAGATTAAGGTAGGAAGAGAAAGGCTGACCTTCATGGATCTGATCAACACATCTCAAGGCTAGGCTGACACAGGCAGTCAAACCAGAAGTTGGTCAAGATGCTTAAGCAACCTTCTTCACGTCCATTAGATTCATTGCTCAAATCTAGACCAGCTTCCTAAATGTAAAAGTTATGAACATAGAAAAGAAACTCTGCTGGCCTTAGAATATTACTAATCTGAGTAAACTGAGTCAAGATATTAATTTTGCTTTGGCTTTAACTGAACATGTAACATATAAGACATTATCAAGCAATGGAATACCAGGAGAAAAAAAAAAAATGGCCCCAGAAACATACTAACTGCTGCTGTAAAAATATACACATTAGGGCGGCGCCTAGGTGGCTCAGGTGGTTAAGCGTCCGCTCTCGGTTTCAACTCAGGTCATGATCTCAAGTTTCATGGGATCAAGCCCCGCATCAGGCTCTGCGCTGACAGTGTGGAGTCTGTTTGGGATTTTCTCTCTCCTCTCTCTGCCCCTCCCCAGCTCTCTTTCCCTCAAAAACAAACAAACAAACAAAACAAAAAAACAAAAACAAACAAAACAAAACAAACCCCCACAAAAAACCATACACCCATTAGGAAGACTAGAGGTTACAGAAATTAAGACTGATTGGTCTATCTCTATATCCCAGCACATCCTACATAAAAATGTACTGGCAGCTGGGCACCAAAATCTGTGTAACTAAATCAAGAAACAAGGTACTCACCACTGTCAGAGGAGTCTTCTTTTTTAGAACGCATCTTTCTTTTTCTTCCACGTTTACTCTTCTTTGTTTCCCCTCCATTTTCCCCTTCTACGCCATCTGGACCAGCACAATTATCAGCATGTCTTGCCATGGTATTCTAACAAAAGAAATAAAACCTTCATTCATATTACTAAAAAAGTTGATATCAGAATTAGACGTTCTCTTATTTTAGCTTAATAAATACAAATTTGGGGTAACCATATTAAGTCCAAATGTTCTAGGTATGTGTTAATAAGCACATTCTGAACATATTCTCCTCATTCAGGGGAAATGGCCTCCCTCTGGAGGGGGGAGACAGAGGGGGGAAAGGAAGGGAGCGAGAGGGAGACAAAGAAAAGTCCATCAGAAGAGGAGGCTGCATCCTCTGAACAGGGGCTCAGCAGCCTGCAGACAAGAGGAACATGGGAGATCAGACCAGCTCCCTGTCCTGTGCAGAATGGCTCTAAGGGAAGATCCAGGACAGATCTATTCACAGATACTGAGTTCCCCTTCAGCAGAAGGGTTCACACATGCACAGAGAACCTCGAGGTGGGGATGAGTGGCCCTTTCCAAATGATAAGGCATCCCTGTGCTTATAACAACCTCAGTGGAAAATCAAGAACATGGTATTAAGAACCACAACAAGGGAAATAAAGTTCTGACTCTTACCCGGCGTGTAAATGTTTTCCCACACTTAGAACAGACAAAGGCTGCAGGGACAAAGTTGGGGTCATGATAACGTTTGAAGTGCATGTCAAGGAGTTGCTTCTGGCGGAAGGTCTTGTCGCAGTGGCTGCAGGCATAAGGCTTCTCCCCGGTGTGGGTGCGCTTGTGCATGATCATGTGCCTCTCCTGA